GGTAGCGGCCGCCGCTTCACAGCGTGCGCACGGGGAGTCGGAGGGCCGCGGAAGCGTCCAGGCTGCACGCTTCGCGATGAAGAGTGCGTGGAAGGCAGCGGCCCAGAAAGCGGCCCTGGTCCCCTCGCTCGGTCTGGGTCCTGGGACGGAAGCGAAACAGGATAAGCGAGATCTCGCCGCCAGCACCGCCACCCGCCACAAGCCGTCAGCCCCCCCCTCCGAGCGCTGACGCCGCTCGTCACTGCCGCCGTCGCCTCGACGTGGGCGCGCACGTAACTCGCGCGCGCTTGTTTCCCGCTGGGGCTCCACCAACGGGCGTCCAACTGTAGTGGCTCCGCCCACCCCGCCTACCAAGCGTCCCACCCTAACGGCTCACTGACGCGCGCACGTCGGCCGCGCCCGCGCCGTGCCCAGATCTCGCGAGACTCGCTTCCTCGGCCATCTCAGAACGGCATCCGCCTGAGGCGTTCAAGCCTATGTCTCCCAGCAGCTGCCGGGTGGTGTCCGCGGGCCGCCTTGCGTGCGAGCCGGACCCAAACTAGCCGGATGTGCTGGAGGGTTGGCCCACGTCGGAAGTAAGTAGAGACCAGGCGCCCTGTCTCCACTGGGCTTCGTCTTCCTCGCTGAGGCGGGCCTATTTCCGACGAACACTCGTGGACTAACGCGTAGGTCAGGACCCCCGGGCCACGTGGAAACCCCTTTTCTTCAATTTTGCCCGCCCTCCAAGAGCGGCCGCAGGACTTCACGCGATTTAGCCATGTTGCGGGAACCGTTGGGGCCACGAAGACCTCTCCGAGGGTTGATTTTTGTGAAATATTCATTCTCCAAGATGAGACATAGGCACTTTGTAGAAACAAAAGAGACAGCGTTGCCTTTTGAGGGGTTTTTTGTTTGCATTGCCCGGAAAGTTATTGTTATGAGGATGAGTAAACAATTTACATGAAAGAACAGTCACCTCCCTAAGATCTCTTTAAATGCTTATTAGACCAATAAAGGATACTGATTATAAAATTGCTGATTAGTTTTAAACACACACACAAAAATCTTGCCCACTGCAATGGGGTTTTCTTAATGGGAGGCGGGGGCGGCAGCCAGCCTCATCTTTCGACCCCACAGGGCCACCAGGCTCTCTGGGCTACTGCCCACCGCCAAGGGCACTCACTGCACATCACCTGGGCAGCGCTTCCCAGAGTGGGCGGGGGACAAGGGAGGCGATAGTAGCCATGGGTGCACTTGAAATCTTGAATAAAAATAAGGGGGTGGTGGAAGCATAAAAGAAAAATTTGAAAAA